AATACCTATTTGTGCTTTATTGACTTTGCAAAGGCATTTGACTGTATAGATCATAACAAATTACAGCTAATATTGAAAACAGTGGGAATCTCAGAACACCTAATTGTGCTCATGTGAGGCCTATACCTCTAAGAAGCTATTGTGTGAACAGAACAGAGGAATATTAATGGCTTAAAATTAAGAAATATGTGTGTCAGAATTGTATCTTTCCCCAGTACCTATTCAGTCTGTATACTGAGCAAGTTATTTAAGAAGCTGGGCTCTGTGAAGAATAATGTGGCAACAGGATTGGAAGAAGATTCATCAACAACATACTATGCAAACAAAACAACTTTGCTTAGTGAAAGTAAGGAGTATTTGAAGTGCTTGCTGCAGAAGATCAAAGATTACAACCTTCAGTATGGATTACATCTCAGTGTCAAGGAAAAAAATATTCTCACCACTGGACGGATAGGCAATATCATGATAGATGAAGAAAATCTTGAATTATCAATGTTCTCATCTTACCTGAATCCACAATCAATACTCTCTGTAATCAGTCAAAAGATCAGGAGATGTGAAGTCAGGGACATCTCCAAATTATTGAGGAAAAATTATATCACTTTGAAGATTAAGGTGTACCTGATTAAGGCCTTTCTTTTTTCAATAATTTGCTATGCATCTAAGACCTGGAAAATGAATAAGGATAGTAGAAGAAGAATTGATGCTGGAGAAGAGTATTGAATATTATCCCATGGACTACCAAAAGGACAAACAGATATATCTTGGAGAAAGTGCAGCTATAGTACTTTTTGGAGGAAAAGATAGCAAAGCTTTGTCTCACATACTTTGGGCATGTGGCTAGGACAGGCTATTCCTTGGAAAGGGACAACATGTTTGGAAAGGTGGAGGGTTGGTTAAAAAGTCGAAGACTCTCAACTGGATGGATTGACACAGTGACTGTAGCAATGCCAAAAGGATGATAGAAGAAGAATTGATGCTTTTGAGTTGTGGTGCTGGAGAAGAGTCTTGAACATACCATGGACTTCCAAGAAAACAAATATATATGTTTTGGAGAGGGTAAAACCAAGTCTCTCCTTGGAGGCTAAGATTTTGAAGCTACTTTGGGCACATGGACAGGAGAGACTGGTCCTTGGAGAAGGGTGGAGGGACAGCGCAGGAGGGGAAGACCCCAGATAAGATGGATTGATATAATAACTGGGACAATAGAGCGTGGTGTGAGACTGGCTCAGGACAGGTGTGAGTTTAGAGTTGCTATACATAGGGTTGCTATGTGTCACAGGCAACTCAATGGCACATAACAACAACAACATTGTATATTAGGTGTTTTTTTTTTTTAATTTAAGCCTCTTGTTTAGAGTCAACAAGACTTGGTGAAGGATCATTGTGTCTAAAAGTTGGTTGTTATATTTTCAAGGAACATTCTAAGTGGTGCAGCACTCTTCTGTTGCTGTACTGAGATAACCTGGGGTTGCTGTGATGCTGAACCTTGTGCCACTGGGGTGTCAGATGCCATAGTGGTTACTCATGGTGGACAGTGTTTGGTGGAGCTCCCAGATTAAGACAGGTTTGGAAGCAGGAGTGGCATCCACTTCCTAAACAACACTTCCCTGGAAACTATGGACTTTGAGAAGCAACAATAGCTATAGAAAGGCTCCAGGTATTTTGTTCCTAGAGTTGCTGTGAGTCATGCTTGACTCGAAGGCAATCATCATCATCAACACCATTACCACCACCACCACCACCAACAACAACAACAGTTTAATAGGGTGTTGTGGGTTTTTTTCTGTTGAGTCCTTGGGGTTTTCTGTATACACTATCATAATATCTCTACAGAGCAACAGTTCTACCATCTCTTTGTTAGTCTGGATGCCTTTTATATCTTCCTCTTATAGTGACCTAACAAATACAATATAATACTGAATAGGAATAGTGATAGTGAACATCTTTGCCTGTTTCCTGTTCACAAGGAAAATGCTTTTAGTCTTTCGCCATTGAAAATGATATTGTCTCTTGGTTATGTGTATATAGTTTTCACAATGTTGAGGAAATTCTATTCCTATTTTGGTGAGTGTCTTAAGAAGGCGTGTTGGATTTTATCAAAGACCTTTTCTACATCAATTGTTAGGATCACCACACACCTTCATCAAATAGAAAAGGAACAACAATCTAACCCCACAGCCTCTAGAAGAAAGGAAATTATAAGAGCTTAAATCAACAATATGGATAATATAAAAACAATTGAAACAATCAACAAAACCAGGAGCTAGCTTTTTTAAAGGGTCAATAAAATTGACAAACTATAGGCAAACTTAACAAAAGAAAGGAGAAGACTAATTGTCTTTCAATTGACTAATGATAGACGTGACTCACAACAGAAACAGGAAATTAAATCTATAATATTGGAATATTATGAAAAACTGTACTCTGATAAATTTGAAAACCTAAAGAAATAGACAAATTCCTTGAAACTCATGCCCTATACAGATTCACATGGACAGATGAAGAGCACTTGAACAGATCCCTCGCAAAGAAAAAATTGAACAGGTCATAAAAAGACTCCCCTACAATAGAAAGTCCTGAACCAGATGGGTTCATGGCTGAATTCTACCAAACACTCAGAGTAGATTTATTACCAATTCTACTTAAATTATTTCAAAAAAATAGAAAAAGAAGAAATACTCCAAGAGACATTCTATGAACAAGCATACCTTAATAAAAAAACAGGCAAGATAGTATTAGAAAAGAAAACTACAGACCAATATCTCTAAAGAACGTAGTTGCAAAAATCCTTAACAAATCCTAGCCAGTAGAATCCAAAAGCACATAAAAAAATTCATCATGACCAAATAAGATTCATATAACCAGTATGCAGAGAGTTCAACATAAGAAAAACAATCAGTGTAAGTCACTACATTAACAAACAAATAACAATAACTATATGATCATTACAATTGATGCTGAAAAAGCATTTGACAAAATCATCACACATTTTTACATTCATATTTTTTCTCTTTGATTTGACTTCTCTGAAACTTGGTGTCAGCTAGGCCTGAGATGACTATGTCCTTGAATATCTTGCCCTTGACAATCCTTGTCACTAAAATATAAATGTTGAATTTTTACCCTGCACAAATGAAACCTCTTATTTACTATAAAATCATAACAGATCTAGACAGCTGTATCTGCAGATTTTGCACAGCTTCACACCTCACATTTCCTGGTACTTCATTACATCCCACACCTTGTATGCAGACATGCCTCATGTCTCTTAGCCTACATTGCCTATCCAAACTGATGGCAGTACCATATTGACTATCCCTCTACATTTTCTTTTTTTTTTCCCTCTACATTTTCTCAGCCCACATGTTGAGCCAGTCAGCTGTTCTTCACACAGTCTCATTACCTTCTTCTCCTTGCCATCAGTTGATTCTGACTCAGCTGATTTGGCAGCAGGTTTCCAGGGCTGTGCATCAAATGCTCTGTGGAGCAGCTGGTGAATACAAACCATCAGCAAAGCACAGTTTTTGGATTAGCAGCTCAATTCTCTAAGGGCTACCTTATTACAATCTCTCAAAAATATTTTCTTCTCTGTTTGTTTTCTATTATAAGTGCCTAGCATTTTGATGAACCGTGACAGTGGTTTTTTTTGTTCTCTTTGCCTCAGAGGTTCCCTTCTCTGATTCTAGTGGCCAGACTAATAGGGTTGTAACAGGCAGTAACAGGGTTGATTAAACTTCACTGAAGGTGCAAATCGTATCCTTCCTGGGTTGCAGTCCCTCTGATTCTATGATAAAATCCAAGCTTTTAATATGATTTCTTGAAGGGTAACTATGTAATTTATCATCCAAGCACTAAATGGACAAAAGTTGGATTATAAATACTTAGAGGTTAAGTTAGACTGTACCAAGAAAATCAAAGAATGCTGTATACTTATTGATATCCATTATCAATTCACAAAGATTTTACCTTATATAAAATGTTTGAAAGGATTATGAATCATTTTACTCAGACTGTAGATGAAGATTCATGAGAGTAAAACAACTTTATAGAAATAACACTGTAACCATCCTTCAGTTTCTGAAATAAAAATATGAGAAGAAAAAAATGTTTTAATGGAATTTTCAAACCTACAAATGTAAACCCTGATCAGTAAAGTGATGAGATTTGAGGCTCCAGAGGATTTTGTCTGGGACTTCTCTCTACACAGATTGCATCATCTCCAAGTTCTGACCTGGAGTAAACTAGTATTCTTTTGTCATCATTTTTGGGACTACAGGGACTAGCAAGTAGGTGGGACAATTAGTTTCTCCTTACCTATAACAAGCCTCACAGGGCATCTGGTCCCAGAGGCCTCAAAGGCTTCTATAAATGCCCCAAACATCTTTCCTATATACAAGTCCAAGGTCATGAACCTCTTGTCTTCAATCATCCAAGACTTATCTTTATTTCTAAAATTTTCTCATCTTTAGAGTCCAGTGGAGCATTGGCTGCTCCACAGTGACAACACCCTTTCTCCCAGGTACGATTACAGCAGTGGAGATATCAATACACTATTTTTTTTTAATTGAGGGCAGTTTAGAAACTACCTTTGCTAAATCTTATAGATCAGGGGAGCAAAAACAGAATTCCCAAATCCTTCACCTGGCACTTGTGATTAGTTTAGTAATAATAAACTATTTTTCTTGTCTTTTTAAGAGGGAATAAGCATTTGGAAAACAAATTTAGAAAATAAGACAGATACATACAGTCAAAGAGTTGGACTGTGTATGTACCGGCACTTTTCCTTACTGTAAAATATACTAAATAAGAGTCAGTGAGTCCAGTAGGAATGGTGTCAGGACGGAGTGCTGAAAATTGATTACGTAGGTAAGTTGGAAAGATCTGGTTTTAGCAAATCTATTAGAATGTGCTCCATTCTGCAGCTTAATTTATCATATCTTAAACATGTATGTGTAGGTGTCTAAGTTTGCTGTCTGAATCACCATAATTTCATGCTCATGAGAGGGACAAATCACACAAGTGTCTCCGAGTTTCTCCTCCTGGGACTTTCCATGCAACCCCAACATCAGCCATTCTTCTTCATGCTTTTCTTGAGTATGTACCTGACCACTGTGCTGGGAAACTTGCTCATTGTACTGGCCATCAGTGCAGACTCCCGCCTGCACACACCCATGTATTATTTCCTTGGTAATCTGTCCTTCGTGGATGTTTGCTTCTCCTCTACCACTGTCCCAAAGATGCTGATCAATAACATACTCAGTAGCAAGACCATTTCCTTCTCTGGGTGTCTCACGCAACATTATTTTCTCATTGTGTTTGCTGATGTGGACAATTTCCTCCTGGCGATAATGGCCTATGACCGTTTTGTTGCTGTGTGTCATCCCTTACACTACACAACAAAGATGACCCATCAGCTCTGTGCCTTGCTGCTCATTGGATCATGGATCGTTGCGAATGCAAATGCTCTGCTACATACCCTGTTGATGATTCAACTTTCCTTCTGTGCAGACAACACGCTCCCTCACTTCTTCTGTGACGTGAGCCTTTTGAAACTCTCTTGCTCAGATACATATATCAATGACATGATGATTTTTATTGTAGCAGGGCTAATATTGATTGCTCCCTTTGTTTGCATCCTCATCTCATACATCCTTATTGCTTGTGCAGTTCTGAGAGTTCCAACCACAAAGGGAAAATTGAAAGCCTTCTCCACCTGTGGCTCCCATCTGGCTGTAGTTTTACTCTTTTATGGCACCATCATTGCTCTGTACTTCAGTCCTTCATCTTCCTACTCAGTGGAGACAGACACTGCAGCTACTGTGATGTATACAATTGTGACACCCATGTTGAACCCTTTCATCTACAGCCTCAGGAACAAGGATATGAAAGGAGCTCTAAGAAAAATAATTACCATGAAAATATTTTCTGTTCAATATTGATTGGATAGGAATATTATTGAGGAGAATTAGTATCTAAACAAAATCTTGCTTTTCCCAGTATTTGAAACCTAGTCATTTTCCTTTGTAAGTGATCCATTATATATACATTTTATATGGTGAGAATGAAATTGCTTTTCTTTTATTTAAATACTATTTTATTGCGTTTTTGTGAACAAAAACAAATTAGGTTTTGCGAACAAACACAAATTAGGTTTCACAGCAAATTAGGCTCTCATTTCACAATCTCCACATATATTGTTCCTTGTTGTTAGCTATATTTATTACAATGTGTCAGCATTTGTTTTCATTTTGTTCAGTTAGTCTCTTTAGAGTCTTTAGAATCTTTTGTTCCATTGATCTCTCTAAATTTCCTGTCACCTTATCTTTTTAACTTTACTTTTGAATAATTGTTGGCCTTTTGGTCTGATACTGTTGTTTTTTACATGGGTCACTGATCTTATGGGTAATTTATCTTTTTGTTATGTACCATTCTGCTATTTTGCGATAAGGTGGTCTCAGGAGATAGTCTCTGTTCTTGTTTAAAGAGTGCCTCAAGGTGGAAAGTATCCGAGTCCTACTCTCTTCTCCCCTCTCCCCTTCCCCTTCTCTCCTTACTCTCCCACCCTTCTCTCCCCTCTCCTCTCTTCATCCCTCCTCTTCACTTCTCATCTGTTCCAGCTGTCGGTGTAGAGATATTTATATTTATTTATACAGATAAAGTTGCGTTCTATTCCATATTTTTCTCCCCTTCTATCTAGGACCAACTATCATACTCCTGATGAGAATATCTGTGGTGGTAGTGAGGCATCATCATCTAGTTCTTCAAGTTCAAGTTAGATAAATTGATGGATTGTTTGAAGTTGTCTTTATGCTCTTTTAGTTACTTTCTTAGTGTTTTAGTCCTGGAGAGTAAAGGTCCATAGTTTTATGTTAGATGGACACTATAAACTTTTAAAATTCCAAACACTATGTACTCATTTCATGAGGATGTAGACCATGTCTTTCATGAGAATTAAATTCTTGATAGAAAGATTTTTAGGTTGGAAATAACTGTATCATTCAAACTACCTTCCAGTCAAAACTTCAGGAAAAGTTCTCCAGCTTAATGGGTTATACAACAACACACTCTCTGAAATACAACACACACTCATTGGAGAACTCTGAGACTTCTAAGTGTGATTTATTTTTACTCTCCTCCACCTTGATTCCCTCCTTGAAAATCAAACTACAATGATTGTATCTATGTGTAAATTTTTCTTTAGCTTTTTCGAATAGTGCTCTTATACAATGTCTTTTTGTGATTGGCTTATTTCAAACAGCATAATATTCTCTAGATCAATCTATGTTGTGCAATGACTCATAAACTCATTGTTTTTCAATATTATGTAATACTCCACTGTGTGAAATTACTATTATTTCTTTAATCCATTCGTCTGTTGCTGGGCACTTGGATTGCTTCTATAGCTTTGCAATTGCAAATATTGTAATAAACATGAATGTACACATATCTATTTTTGTCACAGCTCTTTTTCTTTAGAATATTTGCAAGTAGTGGGATAGGTAGAACAAACAGTATTTCTATTCAACTTTTTTTTTTTACCAGTATCATGATTTTTTTTTCTTATCTACATTAGCTTTGTTTTAATTTTTTTTATTTTATGCTGGTTTATTTACAAAACTCATATACATTGTTTTCACACCAAATTTTTCCCATTTCCTGCACGCCCACCTCTCTTCACCCATCAAACTTTTTCACACCCCCTAATCCACCCCCATCCTCAGCCCTGTGCTCCCCACCCCCTGATCCTCATGCTCGTTCTATAATAATGTTTTTTTAAAAAAATTAAATTTTAATATTTTATGTGTGTGTACCGTCACTCAGATCTGACTGGGGCAGGAGGAGATTATCCCTCCTTCTCCAGCACAGCATCTGGTGGATTCGAACCGTGCACCTCTGGGATTGCAGTGCAGCTTCTTGCCACTATAATAATAGTCTTATACAATGTTTGTCCTTATGAGACTGAGTTAGTTCACTTAGCATAATGCTCTCCAGTCCCTCCCAGTTAGGTAGTGATTTACAAATTCATTGCTCCTGTGTGCTGCATAGTATTCCATCGTGTGAATGTATCATAATTTCTCAATCCATTCATTTGTGGTTGGACATTTGGGCCATTTCCTTGTTCTTGCAATGGTGAATGAATAACGCTGCTGTGAACATGAGTGTATAAGTCTCTGTTTGTGAATCAGTTCTCATTTTCTCAGGGTATATTCCAAGCAGTGGAATAGCTGGGTCATATGGAATTTCTATATTCAGCCTTTTTAAGGAAACACCAAACTGCTCTCCTCAGTGGTTACAGCATTTTACATTCCCATCAGCAATGTATGAGGGTTCCAATCTCTCTACATTTTGCCAGCATTTATTGTTTCTTAAACTTTGCTATTGTTTCCTGTGTTGAGAAGATATCACATTTCTATTGTGATTTTCATCTCTTTTTTAAATGCTCATTACTTATTGAATTTTTAAAAGACATTAAAATACTGTCTTTTTTTACTTTAGGGTAAGAATTTTAACAGAAATACTAATAGCAAGTAGTAATATCTCATTTTTATGTATGTGGTTCATTTTTTTATTGGGTTTTCAAGCAATCATTCATATACATTGTGTTTTATTTTACATTTTATTGTGATTTTAAGGAACATTTACTAAACGGTTCATGGATAAACATTTTGCTCCTTATCATTTCCCCTCTCCCAAATCACCCTGTAGAGTACTTCTTTCTCCAGATTGTTAGTTGCCAAACATATATTGCTGAATCAAACATTCCATTCAGGCTGTCCTTTTCTTTACCAGTTAAGTGCAAGGTTTATGATTTATCTTCTCCTTTCCTATTCTCCTCCCACTCCTTACCCCATGTCAATTCTGCATTTTTTATTTATTTTTTAAAAATTATACTAGTTCATTCATTTACAAAATTCAAATATATTGTTTTTCAGATCAGATTCTTCCAATTTCTCTCAAACCCTCACCCATCAAATTGTACAATCCATGATTAATACCCTGTACTCCCACACATCCTCATCCCTCTGGTTCCACCCTCTCCCCGACCTTGGATCCTCATACTCATTCTACAATAATGGTTTTATATGATATTTGTCCTTGTGGGACCGAATTAGTTCACTCAGCATAATGCTCTCCAGTCCCTCCCAAGTTAAGTAATAATTTACAAAATCATTGCTACTGCATGCTGTGTAGTATTCCAGTGTATGAATGGACCATAATTTCTCAATCCATTCAATTGTGGTTGGATATCTGTGCTGTGTTCTTGTGATGGTGAATAACGCTGCTATAAAGATTGGTGTACAAGTCTCCATTTGTGCCTCAGTTCTTATTTACTTATGGTCTATTCTAAGCAGTGGAATAGCTGGGTCATATGAAATTTCTATGTTTATCTTTTTGAAGAAACACCAAACTGCCTTTCAGAATGGTTGTACCATATTTTTTTTACCATCCCACCAACATTGTATAAGGTTACTATTTTGCCACATCCTCTCCACATTTATTACTTGTTATCTTGTTAAACTTTGCCACTGTTACTAGAGTGAGATGGTACCTCATTGTGGTTTTGATTTGCATCTCTTTTATTGCCAGTGATTTGGAGCATTTCTTCATCTGTCTGTTGGCCATTCAAATATCTTCCTCTGTGAAAATTCTTCCCATGTCATTTGCCTATTTTCTGATTGGGTTATCAGTATTTTTCTTGTGGAGGCCCAGGAGTATTTTGTAAACTTTCATTTTCAGACTTTTGTCTGAGATGGTACCAAATGCTTGTTTCCAGTAAGTAAATTTTCTTTTCACCCTGTTGGAAAAAGTTTTTGATGCACACAGGGATTTAGAAGGTCCTGTTCATAAATTTTATCCCCTTTAGATTGTGCATTTCTGGCTATATTTAGCAGTCTCTTTATACCATAGGCTAGGCTTTCTAAACTAGATCCCAGTTTGTCTCTTACGAGTTTTATGGTTTTGAGTTTTACTCCCAGGTCTCTGATACACCTTGAATTGTTTTTTATGTATAGTGTGAGAAATGGATCCTGTTTCAACTTTCTGCAGGTGGAAGTCCAGTTTTTCCAGTACCATCTGTTGAAGAGGTTGCCATTTCCCCATTTGATAGGTTTTATTTCCTTGTCGATTATCAGTTGACCCTAGATAGCTGTGTCTATTTCTGGATTCTCAATTCTGTCCACTGATCTATGTGCCTGTCATTGTACCAGTACCATGCTATTTTGGTTACTACTGTTGTGTAGTAGGTTTTGGGGTCAAGGAATGCTATACCTCTCATCTCATTTTTGTTTCTAAGAAGTGTTTTATACATATCCAGGGTCTCTTACATCCTCAAATAAATTTGTCAATTCTGTTTTATAACAGCTATGTTTTTCTTTTTATTTTTTTCACAAATATTTTCATTTGCTTCAATTATTACACCACTTTATTTTTTCTAATTATTAAATTTTATTAGTTTTAATGAACATTTACAGGAATTTGGGGTTTTCATTCCTTCATTGCTGCACCATTCTCTCTACCCTCCTCCCCAGT